GGGGGTGGAACGGACCCTTACTTTTTTCTAATGGTATACCCTCTTTGTGATACCTATTTCGTTTAAAGGAGCATAAAAAAATAAACATTTTCGCGAAAACCCGAAGACAATACCTGAAACAGTCCCAAAATGGAGGCCAATTAAAGTTCTAAATGACCGACAACATGCACTACTTTTTAATAGGAGAAATAAAAATTTGCCGTCAAATTTTTAAAAATGGCGGCCAGTTCAAGTTCAAAATGGTCGTGAAATGGTTTTTCTACAAAACTATCACAAAATACAGGTTCCACCATGAAGTGCATGAAATGTACTTTTTTTTTTTTGAACAGCGCGCCAATCCGTGTACTTCTCTACGTCACAGCAAATCTTCAAGATGGCTACGCGCCTTGCCATATTTGCATTGACCGCGCACTTGGCCCGACTTTAGGAGGGGGAGGTAAGACCGCTAGCTAAATCAGGGTAAAGACGCGCCTTCAGCCTAGTTGATACCGCCGGATATACGAGCTAAGTGAACCCGTATCAGGTAGAGTACAGTCGTCTTTTTTTATGTCGTCGGTCGCTTACCGATGGCATCGCTGTGATTGCGACTGATGGTTACGCCCATTTTTCTCTATCCAATCACGGGATTACGCTACTAAAAAATTGTTAGAGGTTAGAGTCGTCTTTTTTTATGCCATCGGTCCAAAGACATAAAGACGGAGCACTAAAAGCAAAAAATGAAGCTTCTAGAGCTTCTTTTCAATCACCTCTACTATTGGCTAGAGGATTGGCGGCGAAATCGGGACAAGTTTGAATTCAAATGTAGGGCGGGAACTAATAAATAAAATTGCGGAAACAAAGTATTTTAGGTTGATTTTTGCCCAAATTCAGGTACACACTCATATTTTATTAACTTTAGGTTAGTTTCGGTCCGTCGTCGACCGACTGATTTCATTTGGGAGTAACGTAGATCTAGAACTGTAACGGCCTGTTTGAACCTGCAGAACCACCATAAGCAGAAGAAAAACTAACTTTATCTGAGATTACTGCCTGTTACCGAGCAAAAGTAGGTGTAATATATTAGGACGCAGACCGAACTTTCTTAATATAATCGTTTTAAGCATTTAAAACACGTTTCGAAGAAGAAATAAGGAAAAATCAAGAGGACAAGTTCAAATCAAATTTCCGTTTGCCGCCATGGATTCCCGCGCTCATTTACACACTCACACAAACGCGCAGCGCCGAACCTAGCTTCACTTTTTCCCCGTGCTTTTAGATACGAGCACTCCGTCTTTATGTCTTTGCATCGGTCGCCATCAGTCGCCGTCACTGCGCAATCATTCGTGTTTTGTTTCGTTGATGCCATCAGAAATGGGCGGAGCTTAGTTTGTCAAACTGAGCTAGACCATCAGTCACGTGACGCTTTGACGCCATCAGCCGCAATCACTCGTCACCCGAGTCCGGAGTGTCTCCATGGTTTTTGCGTTTGGCCCAGATATTCCAGACCAAATTTTCATCAAAAACCAAAGTCTGTCATCGGTGTCAAACTCGCTCCTAATGTAAACAAACGAACGGCGACATAGTCCGGACCGGACATAAACAAAGCGGACCCAGAGCGGACTTCCTCGAGATGTTCCAGACTCAATTTCTCAGCGTTAGCGTTTCTTCACCTCGACAAAAGAACTTTCGTCCGCGTCCAACATTTAAGTATCCCTTTCGTAAAATCAAATATCAGTTACCCCGTTGATCTGTTCATGGTGATTTCAAGTGAAATTGCGGCGAGATACTCCAGACTCCCAATGTAAACAAAGCGGCCTGTGCCTGGTCGAGATGTTCCGGACTCATTTCTTCATTTACGTTTCTTCATCTCGACCAAAGAAGTTCTCGCGCATTCAAAGTAGCATTTTCCGGTTCCATTGTTAGAGAAGAAACAAGTCATTTTGTTGTAAGTTAGGATAATATTTGTGTTGATTAAGTGGCTTGAGCATTGGACTACCTGGCTGCGCCTTGCATAGCTGACTCTATATTACTCTATATCAAGATGATTGGGAGAAAAGCTTTCTGGTTGATGTGCAAATCTGAATCCTAAATCTCTAGGAACGGTAGTTGTGAAAACCAGACGGATGTACAATGCTAGGTACCTTGCTCCTCACTCACTTTCTCATGGATGTTCGCTGGTCTCTCCAAGGTTCTGGTTTTGCGATGCGTTGAAGCCAATGCTTTAAGTTTAGCTATAACAACCAGGCTTCGGAGATACTAATTAACAATCCTAGCAGTCACCAAATTCTCCAGCAAACCCGCATAGTTGTCTATTAACAGCTGAAGAAGCAATGGAAACCGTATTTACCTATTACAACAAGATTTTTTCCGTTGGAACTCTGATAGTAAGTACCTATGAGGGGGAACTATCACCTTTAAGGCACGTTTCTCCATGAATTTTCTTGTTTTTTGGCATCAAACTAAGTAGAACTCAAGGAAAATGAGGCAAGACTTTACAAGTTACCATGTAAGGTTCATCTGCTGAAAAAATAGAATAAAGTCTAAAATTCCTAATGAACATCACCAAGATGGTTCTGCCACCAGCAGTTCATTTTTTAAGGCACGGATCAAATACTGTGGTTATCTATTATTCTCACGGTGCCCATCAAATTATAGGTAAGAAACCTAGTCCTGTATTAATAATGGCATGGAATGACGGGCTCTAATTGGTGACTTGACCATCCCCAATAAGTTATCGAAAGAATTTACTTCTTAAAAGATCCTTTGCGAATAAAGCCAAGTAAATATGCGGATAAAAGTCCCGTGTGATATGTGAAGTGTACTTATTCTAAGTAATTTCAAAGGGAAGGGATGAAATGTTCAAAAGGTTACGTCCAAATTTGCTAAGTTGTAGAGGCGCTAGGCACAAATTGGACAAGGTGCCGCTAAGTAATGATTAAATGAATTTTTTATTGTTATTAATTACGGAAAAAAGGAAAAGAGAATCAGGCCGATTGCCAAAATCCAAAATTCGAAAAGTGTAGGGTAGTGTAGGAGAGGAGCCGAACCTTCTTCGAGATTACGGGCGGCGAGCGGCAACCTGATTGGCTACGAAGATTGCCGAGCATGGCCGAAGGCCTACTCGCCGCTTGGTAGGTGTTGACGGCGGTTTGACAAACAGCAGTTTTTGGTGAAATGTGGTCCGGAATATCTGGGCCAATCTGTTCACTCGTGTCTCCATGGAGCACCATCAGTGAAACCTAACCTCTAACAATTTTTTAGTAGCGTAATCCCGTGATTGGATAGAGAAAAATGGGCGTAACCATCAGTCGCAATCACAGCGATGCCATCGGTAAGCGACCGACGACATAAAAAAAGACGACTCATGTTTCACTGATGGTGCTCCATGGAGACACTCCGGACTCGGATGACGAGTGATTGCGGCTGATGGCGTCAAAGCGTCACGTGACTGATGGTCTAGCTCAGTTTGACAAACTAAGCTCCGCCCATTTCTGATGGCATCAACGAAACAAAACACGAATGATTGCGCAGTGACGGCGACTGATGGCGACCGATGGCATAAAAAAAGACGACTAACCTATATTGAGAGAGTATGGCCACTGGGTCCCATGGAGAGGCTTAGGACCCAAAAATGGCGGTGCTTTGTTATGGTTTTTGAGGATGGGAGGGGGGTCATTGCCAACTTTTGACGGTTATCACCAACCGCACTTGCTGCCAACCTTACTACATCTAAGATCATTTTTCTCAAAAATTGCACACGATTAGCCTTAAAAATATGTAAAAAAGTCGCAATAGTGCATTTGGGTAAAGTTCTCGTTACGATAAGCAAAGACAACTACATTTTGAATAATTTTGCATTACATTAACTTTATGGCGTCCGCCATTTTTGGGTCCTAAGGGCTCCATTCAGCCTAAGATGGCTGAGCCAATCAGAGGTGGTAACTCCAGTGGCCATACTCTCTCTTAATATAGGTACTCTAGTATCAGGCAAAGGCACTGGCAAGACTGGCATTTCCACGAATTCCACCATTGTCTCGGTACATATCGCCGGTACACTCGCTGGGTGTTGCTGGGTTGCCTATCGTCTCGCTTGAAGGGAGCCTAGTCTCGCCGAAATTTCCTAATGCGCGGTCTAGATTGTATTATACGCAGAGTTGCTAAAAGAAATTTCATCGAATGAAATTTCATGAAATTTCTTTTTTCCCCGCATGAAATTTCTTTCGACCGAAAAAATTTCAAAAATGCTTGTTTTTTCTAACAAAATTTGTTTTGATTTTCCAAGAGAATAATTTTCGTCAATTAGACCAATTGGAGCGCGGTCTCTCTTTAGTTCTTCTCTTCTCGTCTTCTCTTACTCTTTCTCAAAAATACAAATACTCTACTTATTTATCAAATATTTCCTATTTAAAATAAGAAATACGTTAGCGAAGGAAACTGTTAATTTTTGAAAAATCATTTAATTTGTTTCAGGGATAGTTTAAGATCCCTCCCTCCCTTTTGTACGAAAAAAGAAGGATATACTATTAGGGGGTACTAGGATTCTTTATAGTCAAGAAATTTGTTTTGCTCCAAATATGGAAGCTAACGTCTTACCGTAAAATTTATTTTGGTGTTCAAACGGTACAGCTGTGTGTTCAACCATAAGAGAAAAAAAATACAATTGTGTTACAACAATCACGTTTTTGCTGTTTCACTCAACTTTCTGGGCATTTCTACAGTTCCCTCTCACAGTTTACCACGTGCGTATAAAGAGACTCAAGGAGATTCATAAGTTTCTAAGGTTTAATCCTGAATTCTGAGTGTTAAATGAAATTTCTTGAAATTTCCTCTTGAAATTTCTTTTTATAATCTTCCACGAAATTTCTTAACTCTGATTATACGTTTGTTATACGTCAATGATGATTTGAAAAAAAAGTTGTGGTCCGTAGCCCCGTCCCGTTCTATGGACCGTTCTCCCCGAGACGAGAGAGGAGCTCCAAAAGCAGCCATGAACATACTTAAAGTCTACTTAAAGTTCGTGAGAAACACGATGGTACCACTGGTTTTCTCTGAAATCAACTCCCAAGCTCAAAAAAAGCTCTCAAAGTGAGGCCAAAATGGAGGGAATATCGCACCCTACCCTAAGAGTCCACCTCTACATCAAGACAAACTCACCATGCAAAGATTGGGAGCAAATACATTAGCAGTGATGCCGTGTTTTCAGTTTTAGAGTCCCCAAATGAAGTGGCAGCCCTGTCAATGTATTTGCTCCCTATCTTTGCATGGAGAGTTTGTCTTGATGTAGAGGTGGACTCTCAGGGTAGGGTGGGATATCCCCTCCATTTTGGCCTCAATTTGAGAGCTTTTTTTGAGCTTGGGAGTTGATTTCAGAGAAAACCAGTGGCATCATCGTGTTTCTCGCGAACTTTGGTATAAGAATCAACAGTCAAATCGCAAATCCCTCACACATGCAACATCTCCATTAGCCAGAAGTATGTACAGAGGTACCGTTTCTCCGACAATTTTCAAATACAGGGTTATCCAAAAGTCACTGACCACCCCTGTAACTTTTTTCCAAATTGAGATGGAAGTTTGAAACGAAGGCAATGTTCCTCGGTCTAAAGTGGCAACTTTTTGATCCCCCCAAAATTTTGGGGGGCGGGGGCTAACTTTTTTTTCAAATAGCAACCCCCCCCCCTTTGTGATACCTCATTCGAAAGATAATGAAAAAAGAAAACTTTTGGCGCAAACCGCAGGTCAAAATGTTGATTTTTGACAAAATGGCGGCCGGTCAAAGTTCAAAATGACGGAAATTTGGCATCTCCATTTTTTATCGGCGGATTGGTCTGAAACTCAGAATCCTAGGTTTTTTTGGGACGAGAAAAACGATTCTGGCATCGGTTCTCCAGAAAAGTCAGTCCTTTTCAAAATGGCGGCCTAGAGCGAGAGAGCGAGAAGTGGATATTTAGGCTGCTTATCGTTGGATTTGCATGAAACTTGGTATCCGGGGGTATTTCGGCACGAGAAGAACGAATCTTTCCTTGGATATCTGAAATTCCGACGAATTTCAAAATGGCGGCGGAAAAGTGGCCAGAAATCAGTTTTACGACTGTTTACCGATGGATTTGCATGAAATTCGATACCCTGGTGGTTTTTGGCTCAATAAAAGGGAATCTTTCATTAATTCTTGAAATACTAAACAATCGATATCGACTCTCATGCAAATCCATCGGTAAACATAGCCGTAAAACTGATTTTTCCGCCGCCATTTGGAAATTCGTCAGAATTTCTAATATCCAAGGAAAGATTCGTTCTTCTCGTGCCGAAATACCCCCGGATACCAAGTTTCATGCAAATCCAACGATAAGCAGCCTAAATATCCACTTCTCGCTCTCTCGCTCTAGGCCGCCATTTTGAAAAGGACTGACTTTTCTGGAGAACCGATGCCAGAATCGTTTTTCTCGTCCCAAAAAAACCTAGGATTCTGAGTTTCAGACCAATCCGCCGATAAAAAATGGAGATGCCAAATTTCCGTCATTTTGAACTTTGACCGGCCGCCATTTTGTCAAAAATCAACATTTTGACCTGCGGTTTGCGCCAAAAGTTTTCTTTTTTCATTATCTTTCGAATGAGGTATCACAAAGGGGGGGGGGGTTGCTATTTGAAAAAAAAAGTTAGCCCCCGCCCCCTTAGGGAGGACCGCCCCCCCAAAATTTTGGGGGGACCAAAAAGTTGCTACTTTAGATCGAGGAACATTGCCAAAGTTTCAAACTTCTATCTCAATTTGGAAAAAAGTTACAGGGGTGGTCAGTGACCTTTGGATAACCCTGTATACCTATCCGGATTTTTTTCCGGATCTAAGCCTGCACGCTCCGGTACCTCCGGCTTTTTCCTATTGCCTCCGGCATTTTTTTTTCTTAGTATTTGTGAAATTCACAACGAAAAACAAACAGTTAAATTTTATTGTACTTATCATGAATCTACGGCATCTTTATAAAATGTCTGGCTGCTTGTAATTAGAGTCCCTTTATACCCAGAATTAAGACAACTCGATTATCAGCTGACTGGCAGCCGGCCTTGGCTGGCCATGGAGGCCGAAACGAGTGCACCCAAACGAACGATATTGAGGGATAAGGATCAGGAATCCTGCGATGTCTGTCACACAAAAACAACAACATCAACAAATTGATCAATTAAAAAGAAAATGAGATTGGTTTGTGAATAATTTCTTAATCTATTTTCATTTTGGACCGATGGAAATAACAATTTACTCTTGATAAACCACAATTAGGTAATATTTTCATTATTCTTGTTCACATTCGAGGTACCGCCATCTTGGTGCACTCGTTTCGGCCTCCATGAGCGAGAACCAATCAGAATTGGATTTTTTTTTAGGCCACTTTCAGCCCAACCAAAAGTGAGTTGTCTTAACTCTGGGTATAAAGGGACTCTACTTGTAATAAGTGTTCCCCGAGGCCCCCTCGTCGTCGTGTCGACTGGCAAAGCGGCAACCCTGTTAGCCAGAGTGACCAGTGACATGACATCCTCCGCCTTGCAATGCGTGTTTATGACCTGAATTAAAAAAAAACCGCACCTGACAGCACCATACACATTAGATTACGATTACGGCGCAATCTTCAACATCAACTTACTTATTTCCGGATTCTTCACTTTCGCAATTTTCAGTTATCGGGCTTTTAGTGTTTCTACGTGTCCTAAGCTAAATCTGCCCCCTTGTGTTTCACCATTTCTCCACGAATCGTGCCTCTTTCAATCGCAAAAATGGTGCAGAGAAGCAGAGTTTACGTTATTGGAGTCGGAATGACCAAGGTATATTTTTCCGCGAATTTTTTCCACTTTTGTCCAAGGCAGATTCTGTAGAATGTCGTTGAATTTTTCACTGAGCTGCATACTTCAGTGTCTTGTTCATGGTTATTTTTCATTATTAGTAGGAGAGCAATGCCATAGTTTTTCTACCAATTTTATTTGAAGCCCTTTATCATTGAAAACCTTTTTTACTCACATGTCATTGTTTGCTCTGTTCGCCCCAATTTGAGAGACCTCCTTAAGATACACCACCCCACAGTCAAAGACTTTTTGGCAGCATTTCAGTCATGATCCTCCAAGCAAGATCGCGTTTTTAATGTTCAGTCAAGTAAAGAGTTTTGCAATTACACAGTTTACTGATGAATTTGCGACTGTGACGCTAATGAAATCCCACAGCCTCGGAAAAAGTCACCGAAATTTTTATGATTTTAGGGAAAAAACTAGTGTAGGAAGGATGAATTTAACCTCTAAATTCATTTTAAGTAAGGAAGTCTCTATTCTGAACTTATACAACCGAATTGGTTTGCATAGATGTTTCCCAACGTTTTAGAGTCTAAACTAGAAGACTATCATGCTAGAACCTTCAATTTCTGTAGGCCCCTAAATCCCCTTTGCTGGGACACATCCTTTTTGGAATGTTTCGGCTTTGACTTCCCTTTACAGAAGTGTGAACCAAAGATACCAAGACGGAGCGCTAGAAGAAGAAAATAATTCAAATTCATGTAAACTTTCCGATTGGCTAGAGGATTGGCGGCGAAATTGGGACAAGTTTAAAATTCAAATATAGGGCAGGAGCTGAACATAATTGGGTGAACAAAGTATTCCAGGTTGATTTTTGCTCAAATTCACTTACCCACATATATCTTTTTAACTTTAGATTATTTTTGGTCCATCATGGACCAATTAATCTCATTTGAGAGGAACGGTCATCTGGGACTGTAACGGTCTGTTTGAACTGGCAGGACCTCCATGAGCAAAAGAAACTCTATCGGAGAACATTGCTTGTTACCGAGCCAAAGTAGGTTTATCATAAAAAGTCACCCTCCCAACTTTATTTATTCGTTCGTTTGAAGCATCTAAGTAAAATGAGTTTAGAGCACGAAATGTGCAAAAGTCTAGAGGGCTAGTTCAAATCAAATTTCCGTTTGCTGCCATGGATTCTTGCGCTTATTTACATACTCACACAAATGCAGAGCGCCAGGGCTGTATCACTTCTCCCCCGTGTTAGTAGATAGGAATGCTCCGTCTTTATGTCTTTGGTGTGAGCCGAGCACTATTTGACTATCCTGTTACTTACAGTTTGGCCCACATTTTTAAATGTTTTTTTTTGTTTGTGATGGTTTTTAAGTGCTTATCCAATTCACTGTAAAATTGGCTGTCGGTTGGATAGAAAGTAGGGGGAAGAACGTATGATTTTTTTGGTAGGTACATCAATCGATATTGTTGTCTAATGTTTTTTTTTTTGCTTTCAGTTTGAAAAACCAGGTAGACGGGAAAACTTCGACTACCCACAAATGGCTGTAGAGGCTGTCTCTAAAGCCCTGGAAGATTCAAGACTGAACATAGGAGATATTAAGCAAGCATGTGTAGGATATGTTTATGGTATGCATTCTTTCAGCCGTAGAATCTTTGTTACATTTTGCCTTTTCTTCATTATTTTACTGTTTCATCTGCTTTCTCAAGCAGCTTTATAACCCATCTATGAATTAGTTCTGGTCATTGCTGGACTCAAATTCATGCAACAATACCATTGACTTGTCAAATGATTATCGCTCATACTGGCTAAAATAGAAAGAAGTATTTAAAACCTGTCATTACCTTTACTGGTGCAGAACAGAGCAAACTGACTGCAAAAGACTGAAAGTTCGTACACACAGCTCAAGAACAACTTGACGCAAAGTCCAATTTTTGAAATACTGTTTTAGTATTTTCTGAAATGCACTCTGAAGTTTAGCTCCCCCCCCCCTTTCTCACTGAATAGGGGTCCTTGTTACTTTCCTGAAGTGACTTCTTCTGTGTGACTTTCTAAAATTATCTCAATGCAGGGTTCACTTGAACGAATTTCGCTATTCTCTGTCTCTACTATTCTGCCATGCTAAGGAAGAACGCTGCATGAGCCTTCAGATGTTGCCAAGTTTCCTCCAACAAAAACCAAATTTACTGGGAAAATTGTGAATGTTTTTTTCCAAAATTTTCAGACAGTTTTTATGCAATTTAATCTAAAACATTTGAAAATTTCAAGGAAAAATATGCATGAATGTTGTAAAAAATACCTACATGTTTTATCCAGGGAAATTTGGCAACTCTCGAATGTTCATACGGTGTTCTTCTTTAGCACGGCAGTATTACTCTCCCATAATCTAATAATAGAAGGTGTATTTTATAGAATTTGTTGTAACTAATTGTTTGATGTGGGGAAAGGAACCTTTGACATGCACCGTAGCCCCATTAAGGGGTCTCTCTTGTACTAATTCTCATGAATAAATAGTTTAGCATCCATCTAGCAAGGCCACCACCTTGGACAAAGTCTTTAGCCAGTATCAACACTTTTTTTTGTGCCTTAGTCAATGGCTCTTTTGTCGTGGCCAGTCCTCACCTTCTGTGTGGCTTGCGAGCATGCCTCCTCCAGACATGTAGTTTCTCATGGATGTCTGTCAATTTATTTATTATAGGTGACTCAACTTGTGGCCAAAGAGCATTGTATGAGGTTGGTATGACTGGAATTCCTATCTTCAATGTCAACAACAACTGCTCTACCGGCTCCAGTGCATTGCTGTTAGCAAAGCAAATTGTTGAATCAAATAATGCAGACTGTGCCCTTGCCCTGGGTTTTGAAAAAATGGAGAGAGGCTCTCTCATGTCCAAAGTTAGTATTTATCAGGCCTAATTATTTTATCCCCTCTTGCAAATCGTATCTAGGTTTGTTATTTTCTTGTTTTGTGCTGTGTCCCTTCATGAAAGTTCTCAATAAAACTACCAAATAGTTTGAATGTGTTTAAAATTATGTGCAATTTATTGATTTTTTATGTCTTGTCGCACCTACATGAAATTTAACATCAGTGTAATCTATCAACTCTCAATGTTTTCTTGCGCTTACTCAGAGTTCACCAATCAGTCTGCAGGACTTGATATGGTCTAACCGTTCTGTGTTGATACGAGGGCTATGTATGACCAATTCTTTGAAACTTCCAGGCAGAAGGGTTGTATTCGGCTCTCTGAGTTTCTTCAACAGCTTTAGAGAGCCTCAATGAGAGATTGGGAAGGTTTTTTTTTTTTTTATTTTGTGATCAACTGGACAACATAAGGCACAACTTCAGCAAATCACTCATGCATATCATCTGAATCAGGCATAAAATACATTTTTTCTTAACAACCTTATTGATGCAAATTTTACTTTTCAGTTCTTAGACAGAACAAATCCCATGGAAAAGCATGTTGAAAAAATGGCAGACATTGCAGGGCTTGATTCAGCACCTATTGCTCCTCAGTTGTTTGGTAATGCTGGGAAAGAGCATATGTCAAAGTATGGGACAACTCAAGAAGTATTCGCTAAAATAGCTTACAAGAATCACAAACATTCAGTCAATAACCCGTAAGTTTTTATCCTTTTTCTTTTTAGCATTACTCATTCTCATCTTTACTTACAATTTTGGTAGTGGGACCTGTGTTACCATCTTCTGTTCTGGTATTTATACTCAATGCACAGTAGTGAAAAAGGAACTCTCCAAGTTGAAGCACTTATTTAATCTCTTAATTAGTGTTGAAGGGAGTAAACTTCACACTCCATTTCCAACTTTAGTCAGTATTTTCCTGCTTCTGTGAAGTGCTGTCTCTAGCAGCACAATTCTGTATTTGTGTTTAGCTGCCTTTTATCAGCTGTGTGCATTCTCTTGTTGTTCCTTGTCCATCTTTGTCAAATCGGTCAATATTCTCAAGATAGTTTCTATTTCTCATAATATATTGTTCTCTGTTGCTGTTTTCATGCTGAATGTTTATTCATGTTTCATTCTATGTTTTTCAAGGTATCCTAACTCTGACTCCTGATTTATCTTTGTTACAATTGAATCTTACCATTGCTCTATATCCCTTCTTTCTTTCCCGAATGAAGAACCATTTCTTTAAATATCACCAACAAATACTATTTATTCATCATTAGTCATGAATATTTACTTTCAAGGCTGAACATGTTTTCTCCATGATCCATTTCATTTGGGAGTCAATCTTGAAACAAGTTCTTTTCATTATCACTAATATCTGAACTACTCCTCTACAAGTCAATGTTGAGGCCGGTTTGGAGTTATGGCTGCCAGTTGTGGGGCTGTGCAGCCAAGTCTTTAAAAAAGATAGAAGTCATACAAATGAAAATATTACGAAGCATTTCAAAAGCCAGATGGTATGAGAGGAATGCGAATATCCGCGCCGACCTCAACATTGATTCTGCAGAGGACTACATAACAAAAATGTGTAACTCTTACAAAAGTAGGCTGCATAGGCATCCCAACCCAGAAGCGCTTGCGCTTCTGGAAAAGGACGAATGCACCCGAAGATTAAAACGTCGCAAACCCCACGAGCTTGGAATTCAGGGGTTCTCTAAATTATCCTTCTATTAAATTGATGGGCCTCCTTGTGCTTTTCGAACGCAATCAGGGGTTCTTGGGTTTTTGACCGGGTTCGGTCATCCGCATTCCAAGTTAAAGCAAGAAGACATTTTTACTTTGAAGCAAAATTGTTTTATCTTTCCCTCCTCATTTTTCAGAGGTTGTATTTCTTTTTATTTAAATTAAAATGTGTGTAACTTAATACAGGGTGATCCAAAAGTCCCTTCCACCCCCTCTAACTTTTTACCTAATTGAGGTAAAGATTTGAAACTTGGGGGATGTTCCTAGGTCAAAGGGAGCTACTTTTTGGCCCCCCTAAAATTTTCAGGGGGGCCCCCCTTGGGGGGGCAATGGACCCCAACTTTTAATTTTCAAATGGGAAGACCCCCTTTGTGATAGCTCGTTCGAAAGAGCATGAAAAAGAAAACTTTTCGCGCAAACCCGAAGTCAATATCTCAAACCGTTCCAAAATGGCGGCCGGTTAAAGTTCAAAATGGCTAAAAATTCACACCGGTTATTTGTCGATGGATTTGCGCGAAAATCGGTATGTAGGGGTATTTTGACACGAGAAAAACGAATATAACGTTAAATTTTCAAAAAACCGAAATTTCCAAAATGGCCGCCGGTTAAAGTTCAAAATGTCCAAAAATAGGTTTTTTTTTTTTAGAAATCTAAGTTCAAATGTGTTTATCTAATGCCAAAATACTCTCAAATTCCAAGTTTTAGGCAAATCTATCAGCAAAAAACCGAGGTGACAATTTTCGGTCATTTTGAACTTTAACCGGTGGCCATTTTGGAAATTTCGGTTTTTTGAAAATCTAACGTTAAATTCGTTTTTCTCGTGTCAAAATACCCCTACCTACCGATTTTTGCGCAAATCCATCGACAAATAACCGGTGTGAATTTTCGGCCATTTTGAACTTTAACCGGCCGCCATTTTGGAACGGTTTGAGATATTGACTTCGGGTTTGCGCGAAAAGTTTTCTTTTTTTATGGTCTTTCGAACGAGCTATCACAAAGGGGGTCTTCCCATTTGAAAATTAAAAGTTGGGGTCCATTGCCCCCCAAGGGGGGCCCCCCTGAAAATTTCAGGGGGGCCAAAAAGTAGCTCCCTTTGACCTAGGAACATCCCCCAAGTTTCAAATCTTTACCTCAATTAGGTAAAAAGTTAGAGGGGGTGGAAGGGACTTTTGGATCACCCTGTATAAGTTTATCTTATAAGTTAAACCTAAGTTTTTTAAAGATGTAACTTACATCTAAAAACATTCTGTACATATTATAACTCTTGTACCAATAAAAAAAACAAAAACAAAAAACAAAACTAATATCTGAAATTTCCAAGAATATCTCTGTACAAAAATGCTCACGTTTATTTGCGGGCTTTCAATGTAATCTATCTGTCTCTTCTCACTCAATTTTTGAGTGATTGAAGAGCCAAAAACTCTCCAATATCCCAGAAATTTTACTATTCAACCATTTTTTTGCTCTAATTTTTAGGTACTCTCAATTCCAAGAAGAATATACCCTGGATCAAATTATAAACTCACCAACAGTCTTTGGGCCACTAACCAAATTGCAGTGTTGTCCAACATCTGATGGTGCTGCTGCAGCCATTTTAGCCTCTGAGGATTTTGTTTTCCGACATGGTCTTCAGGCCCAGGCTGTCGAAATTATTGGTATGGAGATGGCCACAGACTTACCTTCCACTTTTGCTGAGGAAAGCTGCATGAAAATTGTGAGTGATCTTTTTCACTGAGAGCTGATTCAGAGTAATCTTGTGTTGTAAAATTTTGCATAGATGACTAGTCTTAAAAATCCCTCTACCTTAGTTTTGCAGAAATTTTGTCAAAATTCATTTTTCAACAGTAAGACTAATCAACTTAATTTTTCAAAAATTCCAATGGATGTCCCTCTTTGTTCAAAGTTAAAAAATGTTGGCTTAATTTCTTCCCAAAAAATTTGGTAAGAAAGGAAAGTTAGAAACATTGCAATTTTGAAACAAAAGTTTCTACCTAGTTTATGTTTTGACCCTCTTGATCGGGTTGCATTATGACACTTATTTACTTACCATCATGCCCAAGGTAAAAAACCCTGCACAATCCATATGGGAAATGACTCTCTCTACAATCTGATGAAACTTTGATATATTGTTCAGCTAGTCATTCTGATCAAAAGTTGTCATGGACCGAAAGAGATCCCATGAGCGGTTTTCGAGATATTCGCCGTTTTATGTGTGTAAATTGAGGTTTCGCTGGCTGTACAATTGTGCGGCACTTCTTGTGCCCTTCTCTTCCAGTCCACTCCGACCGCTCTTGGCTTCCCCGCCACCTACACCGGAGGCTCGGACTCCAACGGTCATGAGGCTTATACGGAGCCGGATGGTCTTATTACCATGAGCGTCGGGTATGGGTAGTGGGGAAGCGGAGAGCGGCCAGATTGGACTGGAAGGAAGGGTCCAAGAAGCGCTGCACAATGGTCCGGCCAGTGAAACCTCAATCTGCGCATGTAAAATGGCGAATACCTCGAAAACCGCTTGTGGGATCTCTTTTGGCCCATCAGAACTTTTGATCAGAATGACTAGCTAAGCAACATATCCAAGTTTCATCAGATTGTAGAGAGAGCCATTTCCCATAAGGATTGTGCGGGGTTCTTTACAGCAGGGGCAAACATAAATTATAACACTTTCTGTAGAACCTTCCATATCAATGTCACAGAAACATATTTTGATAAAAAAAAAAGGGAAAAAAAAAGAAACCACTGGTAGAGTTTTTTGTCATTTTCTCTGAGAACTTGATAAGCCACATGTTATACCTAACATCCATGGAAGCGCCCCTTTGACCCATGCTCAGGGACTATCATTATTTTCATTGGCTGAAACTTTAAGGTTTCTCAGGGTTTTTTTTTTTTTTTTTTACCTAATATATAAGATACCCACCTTTAAGAGATGTAAGCCAGTTTGACCGTAGCTAGAGCCCTGCTCAAATCAACATCATAATACGAAAATCACAACCTCTTTACACCTTATTGATTGTTTTACATTGAGCGTTTTACCTAATGCAAGTTAATTTTTTATATTTATTAGGTTGGTTATGATATGACTAAGGCTGCTGCTGAGAAACTATTTAGTCAAACTCCCTACAAACCAACAGATGTTGATGTTGTGGAACTTCATGATTGTTTTTCTGCCAATGAACTAATAACTTATGAAGCGTTAGGACTCTGCCCACCTGGGAAAGGAGGAGACCTTGTAAACTCAGGAGGAAACACGTATGGTGGAAAATATGTAGTGAATCCAAGTGGAGGCTTAATCTCCAAAGGACACCCTCTTGGTGCCACTGGTGAGTGCATAGTACCATTTGCACTAGTGCTCATGGAAATGAATCGGAACACAGATTAGATTTTTTTTTTTTTAAGTTTAATGTTTGTTTTAATCAGAATTTTTCTGCCTTTTCACACTGTAATCTGACTTTAAAGTCAACCCAATTGAAGCATTGGATGCAAAAAGGGCACTTCTCATTTGCAGTATTTTAGAGTCTCATCTGCTATTTCATTCACTGTAAGGAAAGTGAATGCATCCATTTCACTAAAAATTTTACTGATTATTCCTTATGATTCCACAATTTTCCATAGAGAGAATTATGGAAAAATCACCCATTCAATTCTTCTCCAAGGGATTAATTTGCAACAGAGATTCTGAAATGCCGCAATCGAGAAGTGCCCTTTTCGCATCCAGTGCCTCAATTTTAGTTGACAGTATACACTCAAGCAATAACTATCTATAGGAGTTGGGAATCAGTGTTTGAAACACACGCCGGCCAAACAGGAATTTTCCGGTAAGAAATCGCCTTTGGCTGCTAAGAAATGAAACGAGCGGCCAAGCCTTGGCTGCGTAGAAAATCGTTGTTAAACTACGTTTTCCTTCGGCGCATTCTGCAAGGTGCCTTGTTGTGTCGTGTTATTAATTCTTCCCGTCCGTCTTCGTCAAGTTTCGTTACACATCGGGGTATGTTGTAACAGTGCTATGTGGAAAGAGGGAGGGAAGCTTGGTAGGACGCACTGCGGTTGGCTGGCAACTGACTGGCGGCCTTTCAAAAGGGCAATTTTTCATTTTTACCCTTAAGAAATCTGAGATGGCCCCCAAGATAAAAATTGCAGGCCAGATGGGTGCTAAGACTTAGTGCTGAGTTTCAAACAATGGTTGGAAAGTTTTAGTTAAAAGAAGCAGTTTCAGTTTTTGCAAGAGCCTTGCACAATACTGTAAAATCCTCACAAGCAGCCTCAGGGTCTTGATTGCTATGAATCAAATTGTCAAATATGTCCATAAACAGAATTTCATAGTATTAGTAGACGCAGACTTGTCAAACTCTTGTTGCAGAATAATGCTGAATATCTAGGACAGGCAGTACATGGCAAAAGTGCAGGAAACATTATTGTAGGATTAAGTGTATGTACGGGGTGATCCAAACCACCCGTCTCTCCACCATCTCTATCCGGAGAACCACTGAAAATCGAGTTTTGAGGGCCAGGCCCGCCACACGGGTGGGAACACTGGGTCCAAGGCCCAGGCCCCGGTACCATGGACCCAGTATCCCCACCCTTGTGGCAGGCCTGGCCCTCAAAACTTTATTTTCAGTGGTTCTCCAGGTAGAGATTGTGGACGGGTGGTCTGGATCACCCGGTATATGATTGGCCTGGCAATGATCATCAAAACGTTTTAAAAGACATTTCATCAAGAGTAGCTTTTTTCCCACTTAAATGTACTATTTATGTTACCGCCTGATATTTACAGGAATTGCTCAATGCGCTGAATTATGCTGGCAACTGCGAGGGTTAGCAGGCAAGAGACAGGTCCCCAATGCTCGTTTAGCACTACAACACAACATTGGTCTTGGTGGAGCTGTTGTTGTTGCTTTGTATCGTCTTGGATTCCCAGGAACTTCAAGGTATTATATTTTTTTTTTTTTTTCAATTATTCACTCAAAGTACAGTAATGGCCAAGCTAGTTAAACAGACCAATTTTTTGTTGTCCGTGCTAACCCCAAACAGTCGGTGACTAGTATTTCGAATAAAGCGCTATCATTGCGTTGCAGACTGAGGCACTGTCCATAGGTGCCCCATGAAACTAGCTGTAGAGTACCAGTTATGCACATAACTGGTTGGAAGCGCTTCGCAGCAATCAGCGGAAATAATGGTACCTTTGAGGTGTTGGAACTTTGCCGTTTTCTTGCACGTTTTCCTAACCTAGCAAGAACTATTACATTGCAACATGGACCAAGAGAATAAATAAGGACCCCCAACTTCCAATTTAAACCTGTGTTAAAAACCGTTACCGCGCGAAAGCAGCAAACCTGGCAGAGGGTACGGTGAATTAACGCTAGAGTCCCTTTATACTGAGAGTCAAGACAATGTGAATCCATTTCTGATTGGTTCCCCTATTTTAGGCCTTCACAGTGTCACAAACGGGAATAAAGATTACATTTTCACAGATTGCAAAGATTATAATCTGGAATCACAGATTAGTCCAGATCGCTAACATCCAATCTAGCCAATGCTTCAGAAGCGTGAGTAATTTTGCTACAGGTTAGGCAACTTTAGAAAATTGATGGCACTACCAGTAGTGAAAGAACTTGACCGGATCGAGAGAAATTTCCTATTGAATCTGATTATTAAGCTTGAAAAAAGTATAAATAGTAATGTGTAATAATGGTTTTTGATCAAATAAGATTTTATCAAGTACTGTTATGCTAAGTATTCTGTTTCAATATTCTTACAACAGTTGGTAGCAATTAACTGCTCTCATGGGGGCCTGGCGGGAATTCAAAACTAGGAACCAAAAGTCTCATTTTGGCAGGATTTTGCTTTAATTTTCGGTTTCTAAGGCTTTAAACTTCAAAAATATGATATATTATAATCTGAAAATTTTTTCAATAATGTTATCTACTCAGTATACTGATGAACTCTGATTTGTTTATTTCCACCGATAAAGCACAAAAACATAGCCCGATTATACGAATAAAGAAGGAGAATTAATTAAAATACGGGTAAACAAGGCTAAAAATTATTGAAACACTTAAAGGCAGGACGTTTCGAGCTGCTACCAGCTCATTTTCAGCTGCAAAAACACATAAAAACAAGTAAAAAATTGAGTGGCAACCTGACCCCAGCCGTTATTATGAGTGGTTACGTGCTAACGGCTGAGGTCAGGTCGCCACTCAATTTTTTACTTGTTTTTATGTGTTTTTGCAGCTGAAAATGAGCTGGAAGCAGCTCGAAACGTCTTACCTTTTAGTGTTTCAATAATTTTTAGCCTTGTTTACTCGTATTTTAATTAATTCTCCTTCTTTATTTATTTCCACCTTAATTATTTAATCTGGAAATTTTGAACCACATAAATTCTACTGAGAAACTAATTCTTGAATTCTTCGGAACGTTTCATCCCACAAAAATCTGAAAAAAAAGTATTCTCCCGCCGAAAATCTGCTGAAAATAGCCAAAATTTCAGTTTTGGTTCCTAGTTTTAAATGCCCATGGATTTTCCCGCCAATGGCGCTCACAAAACTACTCACGCTCCTCCGCCGATGTTAGCGATCTGGACTAATCTGTGTCACAGTGTCACAAACGGGAATAAAGATTACATTTTCACCAATTGCAAAGATTATAATCTGGAATGGACCGAGGAATTTCGGGTTCGACAAGGAACAAACGGAATGAGGGAAGGAACGAAGAAAGGAACTCGAGAATGGGTCGATCAAGGATTACAAAAAACGTTCAATTTCTGTAATCTTTATTCCCGTTTGTGACTCCATGAGGGGTGTTGTCTTAGCTACGTTTATGCGAGGCTCGAAACCGGGGTTTCATGAAACCCGAGTTTGTAATGCAAGTTTCCTCCGTCGGGTTTATGCGGGCGCTGTAATCCGACTTTCGCGGGAAATCAAACTTTCCGATTTTGGCGCTGTTTATGCGCATATTTTCGATTGAACTTGAATTTCATGTTGGCGCCATTTTCA